AGGCCCTTTAATATTTCACTTTATGATCATACTGACACTGTATATATATGAGGATAGGTTGAGGAAAAGCAGAAGTTTGGCATTTACATTACTACTTAGGGAAAAAAAACAGCATCAACAGCTAAAACTTATATAATGCTTACTAAGTGACTACACATTTAACTGTAACCCTATGAGGGAGGTTCTGTTATTATCTTTATTTTTGGGCACAGAGAAGTTAAGTAACTTGCCCAAGGTCAAATAAGAAATAAATGGAAGAGTTAGGATTCAAACACAGGCAGTCTAGCTACTAGTACCACATTCTTATCACACTGTACTATACTATATTGGCAAGGCACTAAGTTGCTTTCTTAACTCCCTATTCAAATGGTATACATATAGTTAAGTCGGAAAAATTAGAACAATCACCATCTGGCTGGAACCTTTATTATTTCAGAAATAAGCATCCTATGTATTTTGAGATGGTTAATTAGTTATTTCTGGATTATTGTAATAAATGTCAAAAATAGCAATCATCTTAATACAGACTTTTCATTCATTAAACACTTCCAAAAATAACTTTTCTGTATCAAAAACTTATAAATGTCACAAAAAAGTTAAGTAATGGTTTATGCAGGACAGAAGGAAAAAATTCTGCTAGGGGAAACTAATGAAGCATTTTCCCATTACACTTTTTATTGATATATTTTATAGAGACAACTAGTTTTGCTTTGCTTTTTAGTGCTCAATCTGAGAGGGAATGCAAGAAACCAACCGTCTTAGGAGAAGAACTGCTTTCATATCCTCAAGTGTAAGCCACAAAGAGGCTTTTCTATAAAGCCTTCAAAGCTTGAAGAGATGAGAAAAGCAAGACTGCATTCAATTAGACACTTCAATAAATATGCAAGAAAACTCCAGCAATCCAGAACATATTGTTTGCATGTTTGAAAAGCAATAAATTCATGCTTTGGATATTTTATCTTGAGAATAGTTTTAAGGATATTTCATGTTAGAAGATTCAGATGTAAAACTCATATATAATTCCACCAGGGATTCTTCATATGACTAACATTCTGGACTGTCCTAACAACGAGAAGTCAAACATAACCACAACTACTTTGTAAAGAGAACACTGAGAAGCAACAGCAGGAAAATGCATCACCTGTGTCTTTGCTTCATGCTTAATAATTCTGCTAAGTTCAGCAGATAAATATAAAAACAGCAATCTCGTGTCTCCAAATACCCAGTTGTCTGTCACTGGCTCATCACCAATCACCCAAGTGCTAAGTCCTAAGTATTAAAAAAAAATAGACTGCAAGTGACCCTGTACTTACCCCTGGTCCCTTTATCAAAACTTTTCATCACTTATGACCTCACATTATTCTGCATTCCAAAAAATATGCAGGCAGACACAAGTTTGCTATTTTTTACTTAACCTAATAAATTTAAAAATTGATAAAATATTTATAGTCTCATAGCACAAACCTTAGTTTTCACATTCATTAAGATATTTTAAAATTACTCAAACATGAGACATGTGTGTGCTTATTTGGAAGAGTACTGCTGAATTTATTCTCCAGAAGAAAAAGCAGACCTGAAGCATTACATTACTGAAACATTTTAAAACATGTTGACATGTTCTTATCTTCTAAGCTTCAACAAAAGCTGCTTGTACAAACTATTTAATGAATATCTGCCCTATTAAACAAGCAAGATATCTGATGTAGGAGAGAAGCCAGGAGCTGAGTAACTTCACTTCTTTCTGTTGCCTCCGGTTGCTAGCATAGTTGCAACTCGCATAAATATATTTAATGTATCCATGTAGATTCCCAGCATCCTAGAAAAAAATATTATGGTCATTATATATGATACAATTCTAATAATGATGATAAACTATTTAACATAGGAAAGAACAAAAACCAATTCTGATTATTTGTCCTAGCTATATGGAATGGAGATTTAAAATATCTTCAACTGCCAACTAAGGAAGCCCTAGACTAGCAAACAGTCAGGTTTTCCTTCTAGCAGACTCATCTTTTAAATGTTAAAGGGCAGTTTTAAAAATTATTATTCTATTTTCTGACACTCTACTATGAGTATAGTAACTTGCAAAGAAAACTGGGTGATAGACAACGAAATACAACAAAACCAAAGAAATGCCTTTATTAAAACTTGCTAGACAGAGTCTGGCATTTTTAAGTATAATATACCTGCTTTGCCCGCACCCTCCACCCACCTACAAATTGCTCCAAATCTGTAAGCCTTACAGCAACATTTTTTCTAAACCATTACATTAGGTTTTATTTTTAGATAAAGAAAAACAAATTACTTAAAAAAAGTGACAGACACCATGAAACTCTAGAAAATTGTTTAAATAAAATAACCTACTTTGGTAGATGCCAAGAAAAGAGAAGAAGCATTATTATATAACACTTAATGGCAACTAAAGTTGAATATCTCCAAAACTGTAATCTATATATTGAAGAGTTTCCAATTTCTAGAAGTATGAAATCGGCTTTTCTGTTAAAAATCCCAAGTAAATTACATACATTTCCAATAAATATTTGACTTATACCTTTTCTTCAGTTTTAAAGTTTGCAAAATATATACTATTAAAAAAAATTGACCAATGAGCACATTATTGCATCATGAGGCTAGTTAACAAAAATAGGTAAAGTACTTTGAATTAACTGAATGAATGCTTAAATATTACACTTAGTCACAATACAGTCAGTGGTTTTCTGGATATACAGCTTACTAAAGAGAGAGAATAGACCAAACTGCAACAGAAATAAAACAGTAAAGTTTCACAAAGCCATTGTTGTGGGTTCAACTGAGTGTCCCCCCACCCCAGAAAAATATGCGGAAGTCCTAAGCCCTAGTACCTGTGAATGTGACCTTATTTGGAAATACAGGCCAGAAGTGGTAGCTCACGCCTGTAATCCTAGCACTTTGGGAGATGGGAGGATTGTCTAAGCCCAGGAGTTTGAGACTAGCCTGAGCAATATTTCGAGAGTAGCTCTACAAAAAAATTTTTAAAATTAGCCGGTGTGGTGGCATATACTTATAGTCTCAGCTACTTGTGAGGCTGAGGCAGGAGGATTGCTTGAGCCCCAGGAGTTTGAGGTTGCTGTGAGCTATGATGACACCACTGCACTCTGGCCTGGGCAACAGAGTGAGATCCTCTCTCAGAAGAAAAATAAAAGAGACAAGGTAAGAAATCCAGTCTTTGCAGATGTAATTAAAATGTAAGTTAGAATGAGGTTATACTGGAGTAGGGTAAGCCCTTAATCCATTATGACTGGTAGCCCTATAAGAAAAGGAAAAGACAGTCCGCGCAACATAGTGAGATCAAGTCTCTACCAAAAATAAAAAAAAATTAGCTGGGTGTAGTGGCGCATGCCTATAGTTCCAGCTACTCGGGAGGCTGAGGCAGCATTTGAGCCTAGAAGCTTGAGGTTGCAGTAAGCTATGATGACGTCACTGCACTCTAGCCCCAGCAACAGAGTGAGACCCTGTCTTTATATATATATATATATATATATATATATATATATATATAAAATACATATTTACATGTATGCATATAAATATAAATAAAATAAAAGGAGAAGAGATAGAGACAGACACTCAGGGAGTATGTCATGTGAAGATGGAGACAGACACTGGACTGACCCATCTAAAGCCAAGGAATGCCAAGGACTGCCAGCAGTGACAAGAAGCTAAGAGAGGTATGGAACAGACTCTCTCTCAGAGCCCTCACAAGGTACCATCTCTGCTGACGCTTTGATTTTGGACTTCTGGCCTGCAGAACTGTGAGTGAATAAAGTTCTATTGTTTTAAGCCACCCAGTTTGTAACACTTTGTTATAGTAGCCCTAGGAAACTAAATGTGGCTATAAAACAAAATAGGTCAAACTGACACCAACATCCTTATATAAAAGTAACAACATTAAAGACTACTTACGAGTTGATGGGATCATATTTTTGAACTCCATACATTGGTGTTATTTCTGCCCGCTTGATTACTTTCTGGGTATCATAGAGAAGGAACATGCTGAAAAGAACTAACCCACCATACATTGCCACTGAGTACAGAGTGGCACCGGCCACAGTGGTAGGTGGAAGAAACATAGATCCTGAAATCAAAATAAGGGGGGGGCAGAAATGAAGAATTTTTTCTTTTTTGAAAAATCAGTTTCTTATAACTGGATTTATAACTGACAATACTTAAAAAAAAAAAATCTCTTCAGTATACCGTGCAGGTAAAAAGACATCTGAGTATGTGTACTGTCTAATCTTATTTACATTAGTTCAAAACCCATGATCCTCATTCCTCCAGTGGGCCACCTGCCAACATTACAGGAAGGCACTTGCATCAGAACAATTTTCATATTCTCCAGATCAATTTCCCATTTTAGATGTATTTGGTGAAACCAGTAATAATGATCAACCATGTTGCCAAGATGTTCATACGACATCATGTGATAAACTCCAGTCAAATTAGCAATATGCCTTTTAAACTTTTAAAAATGACTCAATGAATTAGGATACCTGAATATTTCAGATTTTAGGACAATATGAACTAAGAACTAAGTGTCAAAGCACAGCAGCTTACCCAGTGAGGACACAAAGACAAGACCCAGGCCCACTCCCAGGGGTGCTCCCATGTTCATAAACTTCTCACTAGGTGCGCACATGGCCACCGTGGAGAGGCCTCCCACAATGCCAGCTGTATACCACGCGGCTCTGATGAGAAGAGGCCCTCCTAATATTGTCAGAGGAGCCACAACTGCACCCATCACACCTGGAGAAAGAGCAAGAAAGCGCTTGTTAAGTGTTTACTAAATAACAATCAAAGGGAAAATACCACTTCTAAATATGCCAACATACTATATCTTATTGTTTAAGCAATAGGTTTATAAAAAGTTTTCCCTTTAGAAAATACTACCCCCAAAATTCTACAACAAAATCTGCGGCTACTGAAATTCTATATCACAACATTAATTAACACCATTCCTAGTCAAACAGTTACAACTCATAAGCACAAACATTAATCTGTATTTTTACCATCAAATCCTACGTAATCCACTATTTGGATCTTACCACCAGTTTTTACAACATTCATGTAAGAACTAGGATAAAAAGGCTTAGAATGAATAACTCAAGGTCAAACCTACTGGGGCCAAAAAGGAGTAAGGTAAAAGAGAAAAGAGGATATGATGATAATCTTAAAATGTAGGAATTTCTAGGATACACTGCTGTTATTTTGTGTTACAGGGAATGCTATCAGAGTTTATAAAAAGTAATTTTAGTTGTTTATAACTAAAAACTATAAACTCTTCATAAAAATTCTAGCAAAAAGGTATCAATAATTTAATTAAAAAAGATAAATGGAATTCCTTAATTAAAAAAAATCTTAGATAAGTCCTTATTTCAGCACTGAGCAGAAATTACCCTTTTCTTAAACATAGTTTTACCTTATAGACTAGGCACATAGTGATTTTTCAATATTAGTGTATCACTTTTGCAAGAGTAACACTTCTAGGATCAAGTAATAAAGTATACTGTATCTCATGATGATGAATAATTTTAAAATGCTTTTGTTCTAGGAAAGATACTGGATAAAAATTTCTACTACATATGACATTTCTATTAGGATTCCAGTCAGTTTTGCATTTGACAGCAAAATTTTTAACAAAACTTTCTCTACCCTCAGAGGTTTTTTTAAATTTTTCTAAAGATAGCAAATAAAAACTCTCAAGTGATGTGTATTAGATCTGAAATCCACCTGCTATTGAACAAAATACACAAGAAAATCTCTCCATACTAGACCATTAGAGGAGAAAAGTTCAATATTGGGGATGTCCATGGTCTTAGTATCAGAATCAACTTTTTGGAGCAAAGGTCTGGCAATAATGCAACCAGTAATGACTAAAGAAAACTGTGTTTCTAAATGTGAGGTTTAATTAAATTATGTATAAGTAATTTACAACTGAAACCCACCCAAAAGAGGTAGTATTCAAGATTGTTTAATAACAATTTAAAATAGAACATACCAGAATGCAGCAACCAAGCAAGATGCTTTGGGCCTGGGCTCTGTTCATATGGTATTGAGTGAACCAGCATTCCAGCTCCAATCATGGCTGCAAACGTTGCACCAATTGTCTGAAAGACACGTATTATTAAGAAAAATGGATCCTTATCTAAAACCAAAGTAGAAAACCACAAGTTTCAAGTACCATTAGTTACTTCTAATAAACCAGCTTTAAAAAGATGAAGGATAATAAACCAAATCCTGTATTTTTCTGGTACATTAAAGGCCTTGGGTTTATTTTGTAGTGGCTAAGTTAGCAAGAGTGCCCCCTACTGCCATATAGGAGGTTTTGCAGACAGCTGCAAGTACGTGACTTGAGATTGGATGGGTACCATCACCTTAATAATTTTACTCTTGTTAGAGGTGAAACAAAAATTCTTTAAGGAATCCCCGGATAACTACTCTTAAATAAAAAATACATTTTAGATAGCACAAATAGCACTTTCTTTAAAATCAGTCATGATCTACTAATTAGAATATGTATATTTTTATACAGATATCAGTACATTGCTTTGAATTCCATATTTGCTAAATGAAAACTTGAAAAATAGGTGAATATCACAGCACATGAAGAGATGAAAACAAGATTCTACATTTCTATCCTTCCAGGTTTATGGCTGATCTGGTGCTCATTCCTTTTCTTTGCCTATCTTAGATTTCCATTGTTATAACATTAAAATATTCCTCATGTATGACAAGAAGAAATGTGTATAATGGAAGACAGTGATAAGCAATCTTCAAGAAATTTAAAGCAGAGATTGCAAACTTGGACAGAATCAGGCAGCAGGTATGTTTTGTTTGGCCAACTACTAAAAAAAAAATTGACCGTGGTCAATGCTTTTTAGTTGGAAGCCTTTCTCTAGATGTCAATAACCCCCTGTGTGACATGCCAGGCCTCCTTACTCATCTGTATTGTCTGACCCATGGATGTCAGAATGTTCAAGCTCTGATGTAAAGTATGGTAAAAAGAACAGCTGTGTTTTCTGAGACTGGGAAAACCTTCATACAGAAAAGCATACTAAGTTCCATCCCACCATCTTCCAATGCAGAAACAATTACTAAAAACTACTTCACGCATCCTCGGCACAGTATTTTCAGGATATTTACTGGAATTATATTTTTTAATTTTAAAGTTCTTCATGATCCAGTCTCATATTTTGCCTTTTACCTTTCCAGACTCTACATTCCAGCTGTACTGAACCGGTAGGACTGCAAACATGCCCCAAAGTTTCATGCCTTACCTTAACTCTGTCCATTGTGCCTGAGAACACTTCCTTCCTACCTGGCTGACTAACTTTTTCTAGTAGGTAGCCTGGCTGCCCAGTAACAGGGTCAGATGCCTGCCCTGTTCCAAAACCACTCGGGACAAACTTTGACATTGTCTGTGTATGTGTACATCTGTCATCTCCAAAGGGCAGTATCTTTATCTCTGTAGCACCCATCTTTGGCTCTCCCAACTATTTTCCTTAAGCATCCCTAACAGTGGAGGAGGGTGATCTTTTGCCCAGAGGGCGTTGAAAAGATAGCCCAAGCACAAAACTTCCTTGAAGTCTTATTTTAGGGTCGAAAATTTTATATACATTCTAATCTTTCATAATATTGCTATTTGTTTTATTACAAAAGTATTGTTTTAAATTATTTATCTTTGATTAAAACTGACATTCCCGGTGAGAATGCACCATGCTTATTCTGTGCCTTCATGAACCTCTGGGCTAGAAGATTCATGCCAGCCACTGGACAAGCATGATCCTAAGACTACGGAAGTGTCCAAACGGCTATGCTACTGTAAATGGTTCTCCTTTTGGAAAGTACAATGTAGTGGAAATATTATGGATTTGGGTTCCCTGCGTGGGGAATCGGTACGCATTACATAAACTCATCTCTCCTCCTCCTCTAGTCACACACTGATTGCTCTAGTTCAGGTTCTTATCATCCCTCATTTTTGATCTTACAAAGGCACAGCTGGTACACCTGCTTCATGTCTTCTCCACGTTCATTCTTAAAACGCAAATACAAATCATGCTTTCACTGTTCTAGTATCTTCAATGGCCTCTGACTGCTTATGTGCTCTCCTTAGGTTGGCAATCAAACGTACCCATGTCATCTTCACACTCCAGACCTCAAATACCTGAATTTCACTCTAATGGAACTGTAAGTCACTTTTAAAATTAGGTTTTCCTACCTCTTCTTTGCTCAAGCTGTTTGGTAAAATTAGACTGCCCTTGTTTTTTCCTAAAACTAAACATGTTAGCCTTCAACAACCCTGGTGAAAAAAATGTCTCCTTCAAGGAACCTCCCTAATAGCCCAAGACAGAAACTTTCAACTGAACTTTGCACTTTTTTTTTTTTTTTTGAGACAGAGTCTTGCTCTGTTGGCCAGGCTAGAGTGCCGTGGCGTCATCATAGCTCACAGCAACCTCAGTCTCCTGGGCTCAAGCGATCCTCCTGCCTCAGCCTCCTAAGTAGCTGGGACAACAGGTTAGCACCACCACCACGTCCAGGTAATTTTTTCTATTTTTAGTCATTCCCTGCAGGGAGATGGCCTAGCTCCCCGCAAAAAATCGGGTCCCTTAGGGGTTGTTGCAAAGGATAAGAAGGTAATAGGAAATGGAAAATAAGGGAAATAAAAGAATACACAGAGATGAAGGTATAGTTTTATAGATTTATAAAGATTATAGGCAAAGCGGGTACTCAGGGGGCCTTGGATTTCTCTGTCAATCCCAAAAGGCCAAGAGTAAAGTTTTACATGGGCATTTATAGGTACAGTCATCGGTTGCCAGGGGTAACAGATTTACATAACAACGGGTAGTTCCTCTTAGGTTAAAAGTTTTTCAAAAGGCTTCTTCAGATCCCTTAACTAATTCTATCTATGTGAGCAAATGGTTACAAAATCTTTCAAAGACTAACTTCCAAGTTCTAAGGTAAATTTATCATTTAACAGAGGGGTTAAACAGAGATATAGTGGCTCCATATTTTCTTTATCAAGTTATTGTGTACTGAGACAGGTAGTCAGGAGTTTAAGCAGGAACTGTCCCTTAGGCCAATTGCTTTCAGCCACAGGTATCTGTCTGTCAGGCGGGCACTCTTTGATCAGCTCTCATCCTGTGGCTCTTAGCAGACCTGCTTTGCTTTTCAAAGCAAGTCCAAACCTCAGGCCTGAGAATCGTGGCGCCATTGTGGGATACAGCCAGCCACTGATCTTTCAGAGATGCCCTCCTGAGGTGAAACAGCTTTCGATATGCAAACTAACACGTTCACATATTCCTTCAGGGCAAAGCTCTACAAAACTCCTGAGACATTTCTGTCTCCAATAGTTATATTAATTTATGGAGCAACAATTCCCGGCTAATTACTTCTATTTTTAGTAAACACAGGGTCTTGCTCTTGCTCAGGCTGGTATCGAACTTCTGACCTCAAGAGATCCTCCCGCCTTTGCTTCCCAGAGTGCTAGGATTACAAGCATGAGCCACCGCACCCGAGCTGAACTTTGCACTTTCTTATTGCCCAGCCTGTACTACTTACTCCAGTTCATCTATTGTGCCAGATAAAAAGAAAATGGGGTCCACGTCTGAAATTGTATTCTGGTATTTACCAAAATAACAATTGCTCAAGAAATACTCAATGAATATGAAATTTTACAGAGGTCAAGAATCTTAGGAATAACAGCAGCAACTTCAGTCTACTCTTAACAGCACAAAATGCTTAGGTGTTTTGCATTTGCTTTATTTTTTTAGTAAACTGGTACAAAATAGAGGCTGTTTGATATCTGCTGGTAGACAAGAAGAATGTCCCTGTAAATTTGATTTCCAACTTCTCTGGTGCTATTAGAATACATATTTGACAAAGAATTAATAGCTGCCTTACCTCAGAATGCACTTCCTAATTTGTCTCAGCTGCACTAATACAGGTTGAATACCCCTTATCTGAAATGTGTGGGACCAGAAGTGTTTCAGATTTCAATTTTTTTTTTCAGATTTGGAATATTTGCATTATATTTACCTGTTCAGTATCTCTAATACGAAAATCCAAAATCCAAAATGCTCTAATGAGCATTTCCTTTCAGTGTCATGTCAGTGCTCAAAAAGCTTTGGATTTTGGAGCATTTTTCAGATTTTGAATTAGGAATACTCCACCTGTAATTGATACATTATTTGAACAAAAACTTTTTCAATATAGTATTCTTTCCATTTAGTACCTCTCCCTCCCAATATATTTCATCTAATCTTTTGATCTCTAGCCAAAAAAAAAAACGAAACAAAAACAGCTGACTTACCACCCAAGAGCCTCTCATCATGAAGTTCATGAGAACAGGAGTTCTGCTTATCGCCAAGGCCGACAAAGCTGTTAAACCAATACTTCCTGCTAAGTACATATAGGTAGAATGAATTCTATCCTTCACATACTGAGGCCAAATTCTGTAAGAAATACAACATGGTTAATTTA